AGAATCAGTAGCCCATTTTCTACAGTCTAGAAGCGAAAAGAAATAAAACTGCTGGAGGAGGAAAATACAAAAAAGTTAAGCAACATTGAGTCTTCCAGTTGATTCAATATTACAATGGTTATTTAATATTTCAATAAGCACTGAGATTACCTTCACATTTATTATGCATTATATGTTTAATATGCTGCAGGATTTTGAATAAAAACATTCAGAATTTATTGAGCTATAAAACAATTATATATTATACAAGCATTATTTCTTTATCTACAATTAACTTCTGAAGAATGTTCCCCAACCCCACCCCACATTTTAGCACTCACCCAATATAGTTCCCCATCTACATGTCCTTCCTGTCTCTGTTTTATCTCACTGCGGGAGATTTCACATTCACAATGAAGGCCCTCAATGAAGACCATATGACTTCATGGAAAAGCGGCAAGAAATGACAAAATCTACGAATGCTACCATAGAATAAACAATCCATTCACCCGGACACCAAAACTGGTACCAGGTGGTAGTTTGCAAACATTCAACCAACCATTCCACAATGACAGATCTGCTGACCAACAAAGTCCTTCTGATCTGGAAGAGAAGCGTGTACCATTTTGTAGCGGCTCACTCAGTTCATAGAAAACACAGAACTGTTCAACATCACCCCTGTGAACAGGGAGTTCACTCTAACTGATCACATGATGCTTCTTTGCACATGTACAAGACACGCTTTTCATTTAACTGAGATGTCATGATTCTAAAGCTGCTGTTGTAAATGCTCCAGGAAACTTTTTTTAAACCTCTACATCTGAACATGCCAATGATTTGGAGTCCAGTTAACTTGAAGCCTCAGTTCAAATACAGAGCATAGAAACACAAAAGATTCCATGGGGAATAGTTTATTGAACTCCATAGGCACAGCCAGAATCATCAAGTGTTCATGATCATGAAGCGCTTGAAGCAAAATATCTATCAACATCCCTCAAGCCTTAATTAATGGACATTGTATAGAAGAATACTTCTGAGAAAGACCAAAACTTTCAAAAAGCCACTTTCTAATAGAAGTCAGGTGTCTCTTTTTCTGTTTATCTTTTCTTTTGCAAGAAAAATCTGAGCAAACAGCTTGCAAACGTATTTGTATATGGCTGTATGGCAGTTTCCACATCTTTAATTTAGCACTTGGGTGATCATCTTAACTTACACAAATCATCAGAGAGAAAGACAGTCAATTCCTTTCCTCCAGATATGCCATCCCAGTTAGAGAATACCTATAGGTTTGCTGGGTAAACTGACACGTAATGCTGTGCCATTTGCTCCATCTTTACTGGCCCATCTAACTGATTGTCAGGGCCAGGAGTGGAATGAACTGTCCTTGAAAGTTAACATCAAGCATCCTCTTTGAAAACTTTTGATGATGCATGCTACAACATAATAATGGGCACTCAAATCCAAGATATAATGCACATTGGTGTAGTAGTCCCTGCTTAATTAGTAAGGGCAGCCCAATGGTTTTATGTGCAATATATTTATTTAAAGGCTAACTCTACCAGTCTATTCTACCTCCAAAGCATGGACCCAATGTACAGCAGAACACTCCCCAGTAAATCTGTCTCTTCACATGAATAAGAAAATCCTCTTTTGCAAAGATTAGCGTAGCTTACTCTTTCTGATAAATCACTTTTATGAGGTATATCAAAGGATAACTAAAAATGTATACCCATTCTTCCAAAATGCAAATCCAAATTTAAAAAAAAGAGACAGAAGTCCAACTAAAACAAAATTCACAGTCCTTTCCCTCATATGTCAACACATAACAACAAACATACAATGAATTAAATGTAATTATGCCCTTCAAAAAATAAATCCTTTTAAAAACAACAAAATAACTCCCCTCCCGCCCACATGAAATACACGGCTCAATCCTGAAAGGTTCTCCAGAATCAATTGAGCAGCATCCCCATTTAAAAAAAATAAACTTACTGAAAAATAATAATAATGTTGAAATATATCTCCCTTCCCAAACTCTGACATTTTATATATAAGGATCTCAAAAATCTCTCTGAAAACATAAGAATTTCAATTATGTCCTTTATGAGGTATAATATGGATAGTGTTCTTTATACAGATTTTTGTTTGATTTTCCAACACACTTCTCAGAAACAAGAGAACGAACTGGGCTTATGGCTAAATAATAAAGGAAAACACCATGCAAATTAAGGCAATGTGTGTAGTGCAGAGTCTGGCACCTGAAATTCTAGATATGCTTACAAAATTATAAACTGGAGGGATATAAATAAATGGACGTTCCCTTTACTTTCCCCTTCTCTTTTCTAAGATATCAAGCTTTAAATACCAGATAGAGCAACCCTTTCCAGCCAAACAGATTTCAACACCCAACATTCTTAACAAGTAACATGTTAACCAGGGAATTCTGAGTGTTGAAGAAAGGTGCCCAGGTTGGGAAAGGTATTTATGGAAAACATTTACAAATCTGGGAACTTTTGCACATTTCAGATATGTTGGGATGGATCACTCTCTTGAAAAGGGGCAATTTCTCACAGAGATGCTTTCTTTCCAAGACACCAGCTTTACACTAAAGACATACACATATTAATCTCTTACTGCCCGGATACATACATTCATTTCATCACACATTTTATTAAAGAACTGTATTGAAAATATGCAGTGCTTAGCAGGATCTAATTCCGTCAAACTCTGGAAAGCTGCAAAAATAGTTTAATAAAACGAAGGCCACTGTGTTAATTGTAAAAGCAACACTCCATCTTTGGACTGGAAAATGTGTTGTTACTATCAATGCAGATACCTCAACTGCTATCTCTGACAACGGAGATTTCAAAAGGCTTACAAAAATGTAATAGTTGAGGGCAAATACTATTAACATCTTTTTAAAGATGATAAATATGGAAACCGAATAGGAGAATCAAAGCATTCAATAAAAGCCCCGTACATTAAAGGCACACTCTAAATTTGACCATTTTCTGAAAACGCAAGATTAAATCAAACTTCCATCCATTTTTAATCATTTAACTTAAAATGACTTAAAAAGACTATCCAAATATGGTAAACCTGAATATAGATAAGGTGAAGATAACTTGGAAAAAATGGGTTGTCTGCACAAGAAATGTTAAATTGCTAATTACAAAAGCTAAATTGGTTAATCACCTCAAAGAAGTAGTGTGTATATATATATATCAGTTTAATGAGCTGTGTGAAACTGCAGTTTTACATGTGTGAGAAATACACTCTTAAGTGCAAAGATTTGTTTTAAAACTAGTCCATCCAAAAGAACTAAATTGTTTGGTAGTGTTTTATAGAGGAATTTCAATATCAGCTCACGAAAGCACAATTTGCTCTCTAGTTTCTCCCTGTAAAAGTTTCCAGGGAAATTCAGAGTTGGAGGCAACTGAGTATTGTAGTTGACCATTCCCCAAAGCAAATGGTTTTTCCCCAGAGATGATGAAGAGAAGCTGCTAAAAGCTGATTCCAAAATAGTATTTATGCAGCCTATGATTTTGGAAGACTGTTGCAACATAAGAGTGTGGATGACATGGGGAAAACATTCTGCTCTCTCTACAGTCTCTGGCATGGTATATCTTTCTTCACTGCCCTCTTTCCCAGTAATTTCCCTTTCCTTACGCCCCTCTCAGAAATCACCAACGTCACCAAAATCACCAAGTATGATACATGCTAATCCCTATCTTCCCAGGGCCTTTTCTCCCTTCTCTCAGTCACTGCTGCCACCAGTGGGCATATCCCACTGATGTATCTAGCATTGTCTTTTTCTTTCTCCCATGACATGCTGATGTTGTGGCTCTTTCCCTGTGTCCCCTACCTGTTTTTGCTCAAAACAAAAAACTTTTCCTTTAATCCATGCTCCAAAATGCGCATAGTTCAGTTGGGGTCACAAATCACATAAAATGAGCTGTCCTACCTATAGAGTGTATGGAACATTTTGCACATCTCTGTGACCCAGTCTCATTCATCAATCTTTTCTGAAAGAGACATAGAAGGGGCATTGGGGTCCTCTGTATTCCTAAAACCAAGTATTCAGTAGGACATCTAGATCCACAGAATCCACATGAGCGCTAGAAAGTGGGATGTCAGGAAGGCAGTTTGTAATCTATCCGGTTTAAGGTGGGGACATAGCACACGCTGTATTTTTTTTTAAGTATGGAAAAATAAAATTTATTAAAAAAATATGCTAGAAGTCCAACATTTATCTATACCTGACTAAGCTTTAAAATCAGTGTTACACTTGTGTTGTATCCTGAGTCAAAATTATTGTATATACATGCATACAGCAGGCTCATAAACATAACACTGCAAGCTTTGATTGGCAAGCAATCTAAATTGGCTCTACTGGAATTAAAAGGGAACAAACTGCCTTACACTACAGCTCTCCAAAGCAGCTGGAAATCTAATGCCACAAAACCATCAGCAGCACTTGTGTTGTGTTGGATGCTGTAGTGTTTCCCTGTGATCTTGTAATGTTTTGGTGACTGGGACTTTCAGTGTCTGGCTGGAACTTGTAGTGTATGGGTCCCGTAGTGTTTCACTCCTGTAACCCCATCTGCTGTATGTTTAGCAATAAGATCCTGTAACAAAGGTTGACCTAAATATACTTTCTTAAAATTTAAACATATTCTTGATTAGACAACAAGGTCCCAATCCTGAACACACCTGCATATATATGTATCCCTTTGAGGCTTAATAGGCATTTTGATACCTGCAGAAATAACGTTTGCTTCTATTTGCTTATGTTTCCCCTGGCATACTCAGAGTAGGAAGTCATAAATATAGTCACAAATAAAAAACATTGAACCCGACTGACAGCATTCGGCCAGAGCAGGGTAAAAGGAAGACTGTTGAAAGGTAATTGCAGACTGATTGCTGTTCTTTGGTTTTAGAACTACCTTCCCTGAGACACTGTGAATTAGCATCTCTACCAGTTATAAAATGTCCACTGTAACTTTGAGCTTTACCAAAATAAAATAATAAACGCTCTGGGATAGTACTTCCAAAACTGCTAACAACCAGTTCCAAGCAAACAGCTATTTCCAGGGCAACCGTGCCTTACTCATTTGATTTGGTGTGAAATAAGTTAGCAAAAGACCATCCTGAGTTAATAGCTTTGGGAGAATCGTCATCCTCATCTTTAGGAGGAATCAAAAACTGCCGAGAATTAATTGAACAAGGGCTCCCAAATGAGACATTTTCTGTGGATTCTGGAGAATCTGGACAGCCTGTATTCCAGGAGGATGCATTTATTTGTGGTCTATAGCCTGCACCCTTGTCTGAGTCCTCTTCTGTTGTTGATGTTTCCTCCAACTGTCTGAAATTATTAACTGCGAGTTGCATTTGTGGTTTATAACCTGCTGAAACCACACAGTCAGCTTCCAATTCTTCATTTGGTTTAACTGGAGCTGGATACATTGACTGGACATCAATATAAACAACCTGGGAAGATGCTGCAGATTCATCCTCTGGTGGATTAGATATAACTTCCTCAATAATTGGTGGACAATAGGAAACCACAACGTGGCTCCCTGATTCAGACTCCAAGCCATCTTCAGGAGGGTCTTCCATAACAGGTGATGTAATGGCCGTGTCTTCAATCTTCAGACTCTGGGACTGGGATTGAATTACTTCGATATTATTGGGAGTACACGGGTTCATCTCCAAGGTTTTAGAATTACAGTTCCCCTAAAATCAGAAAATAAAAGAAGCTTAGTATACTAAGCACTTGCAAATGTAAATAAACTGCATTATTTTGGAGTGGAAAGATAATTACATCTCTTTTCTTTTTAGTGCTGATTTGACTTCCTTTCTTTTTTCTTTTTTAAAAATGAACTGTTTATTCTTACATGAATATTTTATTTTAGCTTCAGGTGCTGGACAGTGATTCTAAAAATTTTCCAGATTTTTATTCAATGCTAAATATTGCAAATTTCACATCATCTTCCATCAAGCCTGGGATTTTATTTTGCTGCAAGCCAGCTAACTGATTAATAGTAGAAGGTTGATTTACACAATAATAGCCAAAGCAATGACATGCTATTTAATTAAGAATGCTGCTCAAACTTTCACAAACTTGGGCATTTACTGCAAATAAGATCTAACTTAAATGATAGAAATGTAAACTATTTATCAATATATTCATGGAGAAGCCAAGAATTTTAGGCACACAATACAGTTCCAAAACTGGGTTTGCCTTATCCATGGATGGGCTTATCCAGAAGTATATATGGTAATACTCTTTTAAAATACCCTTATATATCTTAGCTTAGATGACCGTTGTGAAAATTTAAAATGGAATTTGATCTGGAAAATAACATTTATTTATACAAAACAGGGAAAAAAATGAAGTTCTTCAGAATATATTGAAAAAAACATGCAAAAATTTCAAAGACCTACTGATAGCACATTTTATGATATTTTAGCTAAAAATCTGAGGGCCAGTTTATATTACTACTTGATCAAAACCTGTGAATTTCATCTAAGCATTTAGTGGGCTGAACAAAGCAATTGATAATTAGAGGTTTTAAAAATTAACTAAACATTTATTGTCATTCCATAGCTATCTGTTAGAAGCCACAAATGATATGACATACATCAGTATTTTTCAGCCCCAGGAATTTTAAGATTTATGGTCTTCAGCTGCTGGGCAATCCTGATAGTTGAAGTCCATACATTTTAAAATAGCTGAAGTTGAGAAACACTTGAAGTTATTATGAAAGTATGCAAGCTATATTATGTCTGTCACTTTTGTCATGATTGTCCCTATGCCCCCCTGAAGTTACTCCTGCCACCAACTCATTTCTTCAAGAGCTGAAGACCCATTTTTCAGTCCTTGCATTCATGCTCAATCTTAAGTAAAGAAACACAACATCCTTTCACTCTGAAAGTGAAACATTTTCTCTGCCTTGCCCTTCCCCAACCTCATCCCATCCATCAGTATTCTTATGATATTATTTGAATGGTAAAATGGAACAGATTACCTCTGAATCTCTTGGGAAATCCAAAGCTTTGGAGTGTTCTGGGTTTGGAATGTCAGGATAGAAGACTTCTTTAATCCTTTTGAAATAAGGGAAGCAATGTTAATTCATGAATTGCCATCAAACCTCCTGAAATATTTATTTTCAATATCAAAATGAAACACATTTCCCCTCTCCTGTTTTTTTTTCTCCCAAAATCAATCACTCATTAAAAATTTATGTGGGGCTGGGAGGAACTCAAAGTTCCCAAAGATGGGTCTTGAGCAATGGACATTTATAGAGATTTTTGAAAGATCCTTGGCGTTCCTTAAGCTTGGTTGTTTTCTTGCACACGTTTCATTACCCAAACTAGGTAATTTCATCAGTGCAGCAGTGGTAATAAAACATCTGCAAGAAAACAACCAAGTTCAGAAAGCACCAAAGACTTCTCATTTCAATCCTGGGCTACAAACATTTTCCTTTATTGATAGAGAGTTTTGTTTCTTCCTATTCTTAAAGTCCACAAGAAGCTTTGAATGAACTTCAGGAGTCGTTCCCCTTCCTAGAGGGGTTTATTTTAGCATCAACCAACTGGCAATTCTGAGCCTGACTATATCAGTATCCTCAACAAAGTTGCCACACAAATTCCAGTGGCATCTCCCAAAATCTTGCCCAGTGAAATGTAATTCTTGGAGCACAGGAGATTTAGCGTGTGCCTATTATCAATAAATCTTCACCTATATGGAACATAAAGTTTATATCACATCTGGAGTGTATCTAATAGCTTAATGCAAGAACATACACCAGAATCTGTTTCTCTTTGTAGAAGAAAAACAAAATTAAGATGGCTGAATGCCAAAGTTACCATTCCCTCTTCCTGTAGCAGAGGATCCCGGTTACAACTGCCAACACAAGAACCACAGACACCGGGATAATTATGGCAATGATCAATCCCAAAGCTGAAAAGTATAAGAGAGAAAAAGCTAGTAAGAAAGCAATATTTCAGTTAGTCAGCAATTTCCCTCAAGCCTATGGAACAATTTCCTAGAATATCTTTTGACATTAAGTCAAATTCTCAGAAAATAACTAATGTTGCTTTAAACAGCTTAATAGAAATGGAAGTAATTGATTGGAAATGGCAAATTTCCCTCTTGCTGTTTATGCACAGAGAAAGAGCTAAAATACTCTATTCATTACTGGTATTTTTGAGAGACAATTCTATAATTTAAATTACCTAATTAAATAAAGAATAAGTCAAGACAACAACAGCAACAACAAAACATATGCAGGAGTATCACAAGCATCCAGAAACTATTTCCTTTCTTCATTTAAATTTCATATTCCTAACAAAAGAAATGGTAGAATTGGTGACACTAAGCAAAAAGATTATTGACAAAGCTGTGATACAATTTCAAAAATATACAAGCTAGCTTTATGCTTGATGAACCTCTTGTAAATATATTGGAAAGAGTATTTTTATTTTTTCTGTTAATTCACGTCTCACATTCTGACCTCAGTTTAATTCATTGAATTGGACCAATGAACAATACCATCTCTTTCTCTTATTTTAGCTTCCTATTTATAAGGATCTATCTTTAACAACCATTCTTCTCTCTTTCCATAGATAACTTTAGATATATGAAAAATGCCACTACCCATTATTCTGGATTCTATAGTCTTCTTTCACTTCATTTCACTTCCCCTGCAACCCTAAAGATGTTTTCATACTAAGGTTAAGGTTTCCCCGGTCCAGTCATTTCTGACTCTAGGGGGTGATGCTCATCTCCATTTTCTAGCCAGAGGGAGCCACAGTTGTCCGAAGACACTTTCATGGTCATGTGGCCAGCATGAATATATGCTGAGGCACACGGAGCACTGTTATCTTCCCCACTGAAGTGGTATCTATTTTTCTGGTTACATTTGCAAGCTTTTGAACTGCTAGGTTGGCAGTAATTGGGCAAGAACAAGAGCTCACCCTGTCATGTATTGCTTGGGTCTTGAACTGTCAACCTTCTAATCGACAAGCCCAGCTTTTTAACTGTTGGGCCACTGCATCCTCTCTGTTTTTATACTATTGAGCCACCTTCCATGGTTCCCCTTTCCCCTTTTTATTTATTTATAGATTTAGATCCTGCCTCTAATTGTGGTGCTCACACTTTGGCATTTAATCCCCACAACCACCACTCTGAGATTGATGGGCTGAAAGGAAATGAACCGCCCCAAGTCATCTAGTGAACTTCCATAGCTGAAGCTAAACTTGAACCTGGGCCTTCCCAACCTTAGTTCAACCCCTGAACCACTACACCACATAGGCCACTCCAGTTGAGTCAGCCAGCATTTCCTCCACTTGCAGCAATTAATGTTGTAGCCAGCCAGCATCCCCACCTCCATTTTGTTCACATAAAAAAGGGTAAAAAAATAAATGGCTACTATGTGAGTCCATAGCAACTTCCCTATCCCTACACTGAGGAGAGCCAGAAAGCAATACGTGGCAAGGTACCAGGCTATTTTTTGTTGTTGTTGAAGACAGCAGAACAAATTATAGAAAACAGGAGTTGGAACAAAGTGTGTACTCCTCCTAGTGAGGAATCAGCCAACCCAATAACAGAAGAGAAAATCTAACAGAACTGCCACTTTCTGATGGTAATGGCTCCTTTCTGAAGACCTCCAGAAACCAGGCGTAAAAACCAACCTTGCAAGCTTTGTAACAACTTAGTTATACATTACAAGATCCCTGGAATTTTAACAAATATCATAAGTAACTGTGGTGAACAATATTAATGATATGATTCCCTTTGACAAACATTGAACCTCAGTCTGATGCTTGCTAAGGACTACACACCATTAACCCATTTATTCTAACAACTCATGAAATGCCTAAGTGCCGAACAAACATCCAATTGTCTCATTACTTACCGTTTTCCTTTGTAACCACATACAAGGCTTTACGAGGTCCATATCCTGCAGCTGTATAGGCTCTAAAAGTCAGATGGTAACCGGTTTTCCCTTGAAGGCCTGATACCGTCATCGAATCTTTATTTAGATCAGTAATGTTCATTTCTGTGTGTCATGATTGCAGGAAAAAAGGGGGAGAAGAAAAAGAATTAGGAAATGTCATAAAACAACAGAAAGCACGTTTATAAGATGGGTGACCATCAACATTTTATAAATAAATATGTAAATATGAGGTCCTTGTTACTCTCTGAGCTTGGTTGCTTTCTTGTAGATCAGAGGTGGGGAACTATGGCCCTTTTATGACTTGTGGACTTCAACTCCCAGAATTCCTAAGCCAACATGGCTGGCTCAGGAATTCTGGGAGTTGAAATCCCCAAGTCATAAAAGGGCCATAGCTCCCCACTCCTGTTGTAGATATTTCATTATCCAACTAGGTAACATCATCACATCGTAACTATCAATCACCATCATCATGTACTGATGATGGTAGCTAGTTTGATAATGAACAGTCTACAAGAAAATTATCAAATTCAGAGAACACCAATGACTCCACAGTTCAACTCTGAACTACAATAATCTCTTCCATAAATACATAAATGATACCTGTAAAAATATAGTAAAAAATGGAGCCTAATTATGGGTCACACAAAACATAAATTCGAGTGAATTCAACTGGAAGTTTTGTCTAGACTTGTTTTCAAATCCTGGGACTCCTGAAAGAGAATCACTGATTTTTTTGTGAACCCTCTTTTCCATATTAACTGCGTATCAAGCTGCATCCACATAGTTTATGCACACATAATACAAAAACAATATTTAAGGAATCATGCATAATCACATCAAGGTTTGCTTGCCTTTTCATGAAGACATTAGTAGCATGACAGAGAATGCAAAGAAAGGGCAAAAAATGAAAGCTGAGCAAATGAAATGATCTGATTTGGGAATTAGTAGAAATATAATGTCTCAGGAGAAACACCTTTTAAATCATATATTTGATAAAGTAGAATAATTCTTCTACCAACCCTGATGGGGTAAGCCACTGGAACAGGGGTAGGCAATCTTGGCTCTTTTATGACTCGTGGACTTCAACTCCCAGAATTCCTGAGCCAGCTATCCAAGGTTGCCTACCCCTGAACTAGAATATAAATTGAGAGCAAACCTTTCTCCTCACTAAAACTGAATATGTTATATAGTAATGAAACACCTTCAACAAAACCACCAAGCTTGGAGAGCACCAAGGACCCCTCCAATCATATATTCCAAAATCTCCAGCCTTGGTTTTCAACCCTTTCTTCCTCATTGGTTAGCATTTTACAACCAATCAGGATGTTCTATTTTCAACAGACTGTTTTGAAATATGTTCCTGTAAGGCTTTTGACTATAATGATTTCTAACACTTCTGCCAACTTAGCAGTTTCCTACAAACCCGGTATTTCCATTCAAATGTGGAACAGCAAGCAGTCCACAATAAAAAATAAACGCATTATAATTAGAACATAAAATTCTCCTGGTTAATTTTAGGACAAAAATATTCAGAAAATAATGAAAGGATGGTGAAAGGTCGCTTAGCATTATTAATTAAACTTGTTTAAGATTTCTGCTTCACAAATTTAATTAATAATGCTAAGGGGTCTTTTCTGCTTAATTGAGTTGTTATGAATGCAGAAACTATGTTACTTGGAGGAAACTAAACCCCTACTATCTAGTCATTGCAACAGATTGTGGATGTTATACCATAGACAGTGCAGATCATAAGGCTACTCCTTCCGTTTTCCTATCTATGTTCCAGTAATCATGTTTTAATGCTATCTCATAGATTCAAGATGGCCGAATCCTATATTTGTCTAACCCTATCACATCACATGGAAAGGAGACCAAGATGGTTGTTTTTCCCATCAGCTGGAGCAAATAAGTAAGGGAAACAAAACCAGGGAAATCCATCCATCACTTTCCTAAATTCACCCCACATTACAACTGTAAGGAAAGCACTATGGGACAGTTTTGTCTTTAAGCAGAATCCTTAAGCAGCTTGTGGAATTTTGGGTTTCTCTGACTTTTGGGATAAGAAGCCCAGGATAAAAGTCAACTTAGCCAATGGAAGTATTCTCCCTCATCCAATTTCCTGGACATCATATATTGTAGCATAGCATGCTATGCTATGCCAATATCATCATAGATGAAATGTTCTCCTTGGTGAATACAATACTGAAATGTGGACTATCCTTTCTAGCATTGACAAGAAGCCTGTATCAATAGGATTGACTGAGGATTCATTGGCAGGACCCATTTTTTCATAACCATAATCATTTCAGAGTTCAATAGATCATTTTCCAATTGATCTCTTGTTCTGATAACAGCTATATCAATATATAGTTGCAGCTATTATTATACCAGTTGCATAATACACAGGCGATTGCTGCAGATGAATGTCTGAGTAACTAATTTTTAGGCATATATTTGAAGAAAACTCTCAATTACTCTAGATCATAGAAGACAGCACCCACTTTGGGATGCCTTGAAGCAAAACTTTCAAAGTACTGCCTCTGATATAACAGAATACAGAAAGTAAGGGGTCCTCCAACACGAAGACTCGTTTGTCAGGCAGATTGGACAATCTCTTGAATGGAGTGGCGATTTATGAGGAAGGGTTCTTTTGTGTCAAGAAGAGGGATCTGCAAAGCAATACAGTTCATCTGAATCATATCTCCTTCTCTGAAAAGAACCTGACACAGACTGGAATCTGCTTCCTGTACTTGTTGACAAATGATCCTTAGGGTTATTTGCTCCTGTGCGATATTTAATCTGCAAGCTAAGGCCAACTGCCTTTGTAACACGGGAATTGATTGCAAGATCTCCTAGTGATAATTGATTTAGTCAAGACGATACAAAACTGGGCCTTTGGGTATTTTAATCACCAATGCTTATAGCTGATGGAATATATGTCTGATGATGAATATCTGAGAGGAATATTTTATCCCAAAGATAAGTATTTGATCAATAACCTTCTTATAGTAGGAAATTAACTTTGTTTTAAAAAATAAAAGGTACTCAAATTGCAATAGGGAATCTGTTTTATTAGTCTTAGTCAATAAGCAATTCCTACTCTTATTATAATAGGAAATTATTTTAAATAGTGAAGAGTGGTCAAATTGCAATAAAGCATATACTTTTAATAAATACTATGGCTTAAATTTATTATACTGTACATATCCTGTCACAATCTAAACAACTCTTATTTATATTCTTAATAAAGAGTATAAACTTGTTTCCCACAAGTTTCTTTACCCACAAAAGTCTGTCTCATTCCTTTCAACTTTCTACAAATGCAAGAAAAGAAGAGAAGGAATCTGTATCCATTAATACAGTTGCCTAGTAAATCTTGCAAACATTTCTACCTTCAGTGTGGCGAACCACTGTCTTTTTCAATAAGCATGTTCAGTTGATCTTGCAGAATTATTTCTGGATGCAAAGTTCTCTCATCCAGGAAGACCATATAGTTTGTCTTCCAAAATAATCTCTGAATGCAACATAATGTCTCATTCAGCAAGCTCATCTACAGTAGTATATCTTGTAAAATTATCTGAGTGCGTTGTAGTACTGTCTCATCCAGAAGAAATATCTGGCAGATTTTGCAAAATAACACCTGAGAACACAGTTGTGTTATTGTATTCAACACAAATGCTTAATAAATCCTGAAAAAGTATAGCACTGTCCCATTCTGTAGATTCACACAGTAAATCTTAGGGAAAAAATGTTTTCCAGTTAATTCTAAGTGTCACTTTAATCTGCTAGCATGCTTAAATAAATGTAGAGGAGGAAAAAACCCACACTGAAGTGTACCTCAGTGTTGTCTCATTGTATTAGCATGTTTAGTAGATTTTGTAAAATTATTTTTGCCTACACCATACTTTGTCTCTTAACACGCCAATTAAATCTGCCAAATTTATTTTTGGCTGACTGAAATAAAGTTCCATTGCTCACATTTAAATATTTGGCTATTTCATAAGGAATATTTGTGCATACCAGAAGAAAAAAGAAAACAGATTAGTAATAGGGATTGCTTTTTTTAAAAAATAGATTCATATATATTTGTATATAGCTATACCTTGCAGCTGTCCTACCCAATAGGAAAGGGGAGGGGGGTTGCGTGGAGCAGTCAAAACAAAATAAATTGAATCATCTTTATATCAATTTTTATTTTTATGAATGGACATTGCTTCCTGGTTAATCCATCCGCTTATAAATTCATTGTGGGCTTTAATTTAACTTTTACTTTATTGACAGTATTAATATTTTAACAGGCCTATAGTGCTGGGAATATTAAATAAATTGGCAAAAACAATATCATACCAATTCTGACCCAACGGCTTCTACCTTTAACAGAATAATCATTTTAGCAGTTTAGGTATGCTGATGAAAGTAGTAATGGATGTGTCAACTTTAGAATGAGCATAGTTGCAGCCATCTTTTTCCCTCTCAATGGTGGAACAGTATCTCAGATGTTATGTGAATTACCAGCAGTCGAATTGGGCTGACCTTTTACCTTTTGCAGAGGTAGCCTACAATAATACTGTGCACAGTAGTACTGGTCTCACCCCATTCAAAATAGTAATGGGTAGAGATTTTTTGCCCATGCCCGAGTTCCCACAGGAGCCACCTACTTCCCAAACCTTGGACCAATGGGTGACATCTTTCCAGGGGGGTTGGGTGAACGTGAAGCAAGCATTGGCTAAAGCTCCAAAGGTTTACAAGGAGCAAGCAGACAAACAACGTTCCCCTCAAAACCCTTTTTATGTTGGGCAATTAGTTTATCTTTCAACGAAATATCTACGGTTAAAATTGCCTAGCAAGAAATTGGGTCCAAAGTTCTTTGGTCCTTTTCCCATTGTCAGGATCACAAACCCTGTGATGGTGGAGTTAAAGCTTCCGTGATTGTTTGGGAAAATCCATCCTGTGTTTCATTGCAGTCTTTTAAAACCAGTGTCAGAATCCATCTTAAAACCCATTCCGAAAAAGCCGCCTGGCCCAGTGGTGGTAGAGGGAGAGATACATTATGAGATTAAACGTATTCTGGACGCTAGGTTGCACAAGGGAAAGCTACAATA